AACAGAGGCTCCATGACAGACTCTCCTCCATCCCAGCCACACCTAAGGGTTTGGGTCCAAGAGTACTAGTCAATTTTATTACCAATTTCAGAAAATTCAAATTGGTTTTAATCTAATTTCTTTAAGTTGGCACTTAAGTGTTCAATAAATACTAGTGTAGAAAAAGGGTAGAGGAAGGAAAGGAAAGAGGGAAGTTGGTTGTTTGGTTGACAGCTGCTATTAGTAAAGTTTTAATATATTCCATGGACCAGATAAACTCCATTAACCAGCATACAGAACTAATAACATTTTTACAGAAGAAGCGTATTTCATTTTCACTTAATAAATGGTTTTATTAAACATTTATCATATGCCAGGGACTATGCTAAATACTAAGGATCTCTATCCAAACAGAAGTTACTATCTAGGCATGTCACACACGCCCTAAGGAGGTACTGTAGGAACTGACAGGATGTTATCTAAACCAGATCTGCAGGATCAGGGAAGGTTTCCTGGAGGAGGTACTAAGATGAAAACTGAATAATGCAAATGACTGACATAAGTGTTCCTGTCAGGGCAAATGGCTAAGTGTGAGGCCTTAGAAAGGAAGAGAGGGTGTGGCATAGCACAGGAAATGAAGAAATCCAGCACAGAGCTGCATTACAAAAGAGGGAGAAGTTGAGAGGGAAAAGTCTAGTAAAGGTGGCAAGGCCTAGATCAAGCAAAGATGTGGGCCATGTTAAAGATTTTGGACTAAGGGGCACCTGGGTGGCTCAGTCGGTTAAGCGTCTACTTTCAGCTCAGGTCATGATCCCAGGGTCCTGGGCTCCTTGCTCAGCAGGGAGCCTGCTTCTCCCCTCTGCCTGCAGCTCCCCCTGCTTGTGCTCTCTCTCACACTCTTTCTCTGACAAATAAATAAATAAAAATCTTAAAAAAAAAAAGATTCTGGACTTTGTGTTAAGTAACAAGAATTCACTGAAGAAGTCTGAATAGGAGGCTGACATGATTAGATTTGAATTTTAGAAATACCACTCTGAATTGCAGAATTGAGAGTATAATGGAAAAAAGAAAAGGTTGGAGGCAGAGACATGTTTTTAAGAAATATTAGTAGTTCCCAGAATCATTAAGAGGGATGAAGAAAGGGAGCCTGAACTTTCAGGAACAATTCTCAAAAAACCAGGCCCAGAAGGGATCTGCCACCTCTGGCATGATTAGAAGATCAGAAAACTTCTCCACAACTACCAACACCAGGGCAGCGACCTGGCAGAGGGGATGACACGTCGGAGCGGATGGCAGCTGAAGTAGGAGCGGACAGCAGGGTGGAAGGGTGAGGGGTTTAGCTGGGAGGAAGAAGGGATGACACAGGTTTCTAGCCTGAAGCAACAGGTTGGACAGGAGTCCATTACTGAAACAGGGTAAACAAAAGGAGAACTAGGGTGGGGAAAATGGGTGTGACTTTGGACTTAGAGAGTCAAGAGATGTGCGTGGGACCTCTAAGTAGCTAGCTGGAGTCAGGGGCATGGTCACAGTGCACGGACGCCACAGGCAGGGATGAGGTCATCCAGGGAGAGTGCTCCAGTCAGAAGGAAGAGGGCCCAGGACGCAATCTTGACAAACAGCAGCTAACACGGAAGAGGTGAGCAGAGGAAGATTAGGCCAACCAAGGAAAGAGATGTAGGAGAGAGAGAGAGAAAACACTGGTAAGAATACAGTATCGTGATGGGAAGTGAAGGAAGCAGAAGTCAATAGTGTTAAATACTGCTGAGGGATCAATCAAGATAAGGACTGAACTCGCAAAGAAATCACCGTGATCTGTGAACGGAATGACAGGACGAAAGGTGACAGAGTAAGTAACACAAGAACGCCAACTGACCATCTATTTAACATAGAAGTAGAACTCCTACCCACCATTATTTTAAGGAGAAGAGAAAAGGAAAGGAAAAGAAAAGGCAAGGAAAGGGAAAGATTAAAAGAATACACAAGGACTCAAGATTGGAAGGGGAAAAACAAACGCCTTACTTGTATTTGATATAAACATTCACTTACCAACCCAGATAGATTCACAAAGAATGAGCACATTATTAGAAATAATTTCACCTTGGCAAGATGAATAAATAAAAAACTTTTTAACAAGTCAGTAATATTTCTCTACAGCAGCAAAGACGAGGAAATGTATCGTTCATAATAGCAAAAAAAACCTTCAAGCATTTAGGAACTAACTTAACAAAGAATATAAAAGACTTCCACGGAGAAAATTTTAAACTGTTAAAAAGTTAAAATAAGATCTAAATAAATGAGACATCCTATGCTTTGGAACAGGTCAATTTAACATTATAAATACCTCAGTTCTTCCTCACCCTTGTGCACTGTAGGAATGTAGATCGGTGCAACCACAATAGCAAACAGTATGGAGGTTCCTCAATAAATTAAAAATAGAACTACCCTATGATTCAGCAATCGCACTATTGGGTATTTATCCAAAAAAAGCCCAGAAACACTAATTGAAAAGATATATGCATCCCCGTGTTCCCTGCAGCATTATTTACAATAGCCAAGATATGGAAGCAACTGGAGTGTCCACTGATAGATGACTGGATACAGAAAATGCAGTGTGTACACACGCACACACAAACACACATAATTATTATTATACCATAAAAAAGAAGGAAATCTTGCCATTTGTGACAGCATGGATGGAACTTGAGGGTATTATGCAAAGTGAAGTGAGTCAGTGAAAAGACAAATAACGTATGATTGTACTTACAAGTGGAATCAACAATGAAAACCCCGGACTCAGGGATACAGAGAACAGATGGGTGGCTGCCGGAGATGGGGAGGGGGGTGCTGGCAGGGAGGGGTGTACAAATGGAAAATGGGAGGTGATTAAAGGTACAAACTTCCAGTTATAAATAAGTCCTGGGGATGTGATGCACAGCATGGTGGCTGTAGTTAATAAAGCTGTGCTGTTTGAAAGTTGCTGAGAGACTTAAGTCTTAAAAGTTCTCGTCACAAGAAAAAAACAATCTGTAACAAGGTGGTGGTGGATGTTAACTAGACTTACTGATTTATTGTGGTGATCACTTATTGCGTCTCAACGAATGTCAAATCATTATGATGTACACTTGAAACTACTTGTCATATGCCAATTATATCTCAATTTAAAAAAAGACTTCAGTTTCCCCTAAATTAATCAATACATTAAATTCAACCGCATTGGTTTTACTATTATATTTTTATTATTTAGAAACTCAAATATATTCTAAATGCATACTGAAGAATAATGGCTCACATAAGCTATATCAGCACTAAAAGAATTTTTTTTTTTTTAAGATAAAAAAGGAAAACTTTTCCTGTGACATAACAAACCAGTATGGTACTGGCATATAGAAAAGGAGACCAATATCGGGTGCCTAGGTGGCTCAGTCAGTTAAGTGTCCCACTCTTGGTTTCAGCTCAGATCATGATCTCAGGGTCATGGGATCGAGCACAGCACAGAGTCTACTTAATACTCTCTCTCCCTTTGCCCCTCCCTCCCGCTCTCTTTCTCTCTCTAAAATAAATACGTAAATCTTAAAAAAAAAAAGAAAGAAAGAAAGAAAAGGAGACCAATAGTACAGAATAGAGAGTTCTGAGACAGATCCAAGTGTATATGAGAACCTACTGTATAATTAAGATTGCCCCATAAATTAATGGGGAAGGACAAACCATGAGTAGGGGAAAACTGGCTCCATATATGGAGAAAAATGAAAATGAATTCCACCTAATACTATATACAGAGGTGAAACTCAGGTGGACTAAGGACAAAAATGTGAAAGGTAAAACTATAAAGCTAATATAATTATTATAGAAAAATATCTTTGTGACTTATAGAAGAAAAAGAGTTCCTAAATAAAATCCCACAAGCACAAAACTCATTAGCCTATTATCTATGCAAAACATAAAAAATTTTTAAAGCTCTTCTGGTGAAAATACCAGGTTTTTATATGGAAAATCCATATAAAAAAGATAAATTAGAAGAAATGATGATTATGGTTATTTAGACATAGAGGGTTCATGAGAATCAGGGGAAATAAAGCAGGTGGCTTTGGTTTTACAATTAAAAGAAAACAAAGTATTAGGTAAGTACCATGAATTTGTTTTACCTCATATATGGAGTGGAACCACCACCCAGTTCTTCATACACTTTTATTATAGTCCACATTAACCCCCAAAATACCCAAGAGTAAAGCTAATTATCAAGAGATCCATCAATCAGAATCTGCTTTTTTCCATACTTGCAAGACTTTCAAACCAAAAGAACGAATATTATTCCCTTTAAAATTAGTGCTACATCAAATACTAACTCCTAAGCAAATGCTAAGAGGAATAGAGTTAAATAAAAACATAGGATTTTTGCAAGCTGTATTAAACACATTATAGTTATTAGAAGCAAAACTGAATGAAATGAAAATAACGTATAACTTGAATTTAATTGAAATCTTAGGTTACCCTAAAAGCTTAGGGTTACATCCCAAATGTTTTATTTTACTACTTCCATATGAAGTAGAATGGGTACCTGACATTTAAATATACTAGAACAGTCTAGAGAAAAAAATATCAGCACTTGCTTTGGAATGAAATGTCTAGAAATTAGACTTGAGCATAACATCTGGGGAAAATCCCCAATTCAGTGCACTACGCATTGAATATTTAACTCCTTGTACACTAGGTAATAAAAACTATGTATTAGGTACAACATTTATAGCCCCCAAATGAAGATTATTTACTTAATTAGAAAATTCATTCACGTGTCCTGTGTCTTTTTTCCCATCATGCTATTCAGAATGGAACCTTTCTTTAGAGCCAAAAAAACCCGCTGAAAAGTGAAAATCATATAATTTAACGTGTTGTTGAATGTACTAAAATAAGTGCCCCCCCCAAATCTGCCACCTGTATATTTCAGAAAACTATAAAATCACCACTAACTGATGTGATATAGGGACGCCCAGGTATTCTAAATGTATGAGATTAATAAAATATACCTTGAACAACAACCTGGCTGCCTGGGACAAAGAACTGCTGTGTGCCGTCAGCTGACTGTGCTGCATACTGTACAATTGTAGCACCTGGCGGAGGAGCTCCTGAATTTGTCATTGTTAATGCCTGCAGTCCCTGAACACCATCAGATCCTGGGTTAGAAATCTGGATTGTTCCACCTTGGGCTATAGCAACTTAACAGAAAAAGAAAAGAAATATTAGAGAATTTCAAGATTCACTTGTAATAATCCCATATTGGAAGAATGCACTGTGGCTCTGTTAATTACCAACTGTCAGTTTACCCTTATTTCTCTAGGCTGAATTGATAAGGAGATACTTCTTCATAGGACAACACTCTGCAAAAGCTCATAAACACTTGAAAATATCTTATATTCAGAATTATTTGAAATTCATAGAACCCATGGAGTTTGCCTCCTCCCTAGTATCCATCCAGCTAAATTATTGAAGAGGAAGAGTGGAGATGAAGACAGGGAGGAAGACCAGCTTCTTTGTTTTCTCCATTCTCTCAGATGTTTTTAGTTATAGCTAAATAGCATTCTTCTAACATTTAAAAAATAGTCAGTAAAATTCCATCGAGCATCACAATTACCATGAACTTATACCTTCATTCAGCTAACTACTTCTCTAATTTATCATCAAAAGAAAGTAGCTCTTTGTATGGTGATTAACATAACAATAAAAAATAAAGTAGCTCTTAATGGAATATATATTACTATATATTTTGGTTTTAAAGCTTAAGTCTACAAAATTGTAACCTTTACCATTTTGACTATGTCAGGAGAACCCTGAAATATAAAACGTTAAGTTGCAAAGGATCTTAAAATATAACTATTGAAAGAATTTGTGCTACAATATTTACCTCTACCAAGTGTCTTGAATAACTGCAGCTCATGGCAACAAATAGGAGGTGGACTTCCTCTAAACACTGAGACTTGCCAGTCATGTTTAAAAGTTAACATATTAACCAAAAGTTTCCAAAAGAGAACTGATCAAATGTTTTGTTTTTAAATTTCACTCTAATAGACAAAGAGGCAGTTTAAAATATCTGAGAGTTCTGTATACTTTAACATAAATATTATGACTCCATGGTTTAAGTGGAACCAAAGGCTATGCTTTCAAAAAAAAAATCACATATAAACTAGCTCATTAGATTTACAATGAAGATAACGACACATCAGAACAACACAACACATATAAATCAATGTAAATGCCCTACAGGAGTGTTATATAGTGTGTCAAAATGTATGTTGAATATTTCCAACATATTCCCTAATGTTTTCAACTATCGAAGCAAAGGTCCATTTAGGTGGAACACCTGATCGTATAAACCTGTCCGAACTACTTGGAGAGAGTAACAATAAATCTTTAGTTCCTTGACCTGAGGCCTAACACAGAAAGATGGGTTAAGCATTTTGAAAAAGATTTCTGCAAGATGCATTCCGTGTTTTTGTTCTTTGACAGGCCACCATTAGGATAGAATTGACAGAAACTTAAGAATCAGTTACAGACTATCAAGGATGCTGAGGTTGAAAAACTTATGTAATATCACTTCCTTTATCTGGCTCACGTAGAGCATCACATTCTGTACACATTTTAAAAAACAAGATTTTAGGAGTCTCAGGATTCACCCTTTATAACAAAAGGGTTTGGAAAGAAACCTAACTATGCCTACTTTCTTAAAAGAGGAGTATGAAAGAGAAGAGATATTGCTTCCTCAGATCTTCATGACTGGACATGAATGTATTTCATATGTTATCATTTATCTGAATGTGTTTTCAGTTGATAATTAGTTTGGTGTTATAGAAATAGTGCTTTCGAAGCAGACAGAGGCAGTGTAACCACAATATGGAAGAAGCACAAAGCCTAGCATGTAGTGGGCACTCAATAAATGATGAATGAATGGCTATCATTTCCTCAAGACAGACTACATCATAAATAACTTGAGCCACTTGTGACTCTAGAAGAGTTAAATAAAATACAGCTTCAAATTCTAATTACAGAACTTAATTTTCAATGCCAATACAATTAACAAGCTTTGGGACTGGTAAAAAATCTAATGTGAGAGTAGTTGCTGCCTAGGGTAAGAACATGAAATAGGTAGATAACAAAGACCCTTACTTTTTTTTCTTTTCATATTTTTTTTTTCCCACCCTTTATTTTTTTCAATAATGTTTCCTCTTAGTTCCAACCAAACTTCTTTGCTTTCACACATACTGTGAAAAGCTGATATATAAAGAATCTGTTCCTCTCATCATTTTATTTTCTGGTCAAGTCATTATATAATTAGTGAAAAACAAAAGCTAAACACACACACACACACACACACACACAACACACACACAAGCTAGCTCTAGGGGAAAACATTTCTACTGATAAGTCTTGTACTTTAACCTCGCTTTTATTTTTTATACCAAAGGCACTTTTGATTTTGGCATTATGAAATGACAGAGGACCTTCCCATTCAAAATATTACCTCTCATTTAACAATAAACAAGATTTACCAAAGCTTCAGGATACTAGAATTAGGTCTTGTGTATGTGTGTGTGTGTGTGTGTGTATTCAAGATTTGAAGAGGAAACTTTTCAGGTTACAAAATATTCAAGGACAGCAAAATATGTGTTTTCAGTAAACACATATCAAGATAAATAGTGAGAAAAATTAAGATGAAATTAACTGAATGAGATTAGTCACATCTTTTGTTTTACTTATTTTTTTTTAAACTTAGGAAATTTGCTAGCAAACCTAAAAGTAGAAAGAATTTTGTGTCACCTATTTTCCTTGCCCACACATCCCCAGCCTTTATTTTTTTTTGTCTGGAGTATTTCAAAACAAATCCCAGACATCATATCTGGTTAATCATTTTTAAATAAAATGGCCCATATGAAGGCCATTAGTAACCAATGAAGATAAAATACATTTGTATTTCCTACCAATTTTACTTTGGGGACCTAGGCTTTATTAATGATTTCTTAGACTGACACATGCAACTGAGGCATAAAAGCTTATACCTATGGCCTCACTGCTGATCACAATGAAGAGTCCGCACTGGTCTATGAAGACTGATTGGGACTCAAACACAAGTAAAAGTGTTTTTATTTTATAAGTCAGAGAAAGACATGTATCATATGACCTCACCGATATGAGGAATTCTTAATCTCAGGAAACAAACTGAGTGTTGCTGGAGTGGTGGGGGGTGGGAGGGATGGGGTGGCTGGGTGATAGACATTGGGGAGGGTATGTGCTATGGTGAGCGCTGTGAATTGTGCAAGACTGTTGAATCACAGATCTGTACTTCTGAAACAAATAATGCAACATATGTTAAGAAAAAAGAAAAAGAAGAACATAGCAGAGGGGAAGAATGAAGGGGAGTAAGTCGGAGAGGGAGACGAACCATGAGAGACGATGGACTCTGAAAAACAAACTGAGGGTTCTAGAGGGGAGGAGGGTAGGGGGATGGGTTAGCCTGGTGGTGGGTATTAAAGAGGGCACATTCTGCATGGAGCACTGGGTGTTATGCACAAACAATGAATCATGGAACACGACATCAAAAACTAGTGATGTAATGTATGGTGATTAACATAATAAAAAAATTTTTTTTTAAAGTTTTTATTTTAGATTATATACATACTGATTTTCCTCTTTTAAGTAATCCTTAATAACATTAGTTTGATAAAATAATCTAAATTGAATTAAATTGAACAGCTAGATTATATAATCAATTAAATTCTACTTCAACATCCATTATTAATAGATTCAAGCCTGCTAGTATGTTATTGCTCATAATAATGGTGGGTGGAGGTTAGGCTCTGTTGTCCTAGTTGTTCTGGGAGTTAGCTTTTTTTTCCCCTCTCAAGTCTCAGATAAGCTATTCCCCATAACTAAATAGGTCACTCTATACCCACAGGTAGAATGTTGGACATACTGACCTTACATTAAGAGTTTGTCTAGATAGAGTGTAAATCACTAATTTACTAAGTATTTTTCTACTAAGTTGGTTTTAGTGGTTACACAAATGTCTCTATGTACATCCTTATATAGTCATTGATTTAGTTTCGAATCAATATTAACCCAAGTATGGTTTCTCCATCCCCAACTTACCATACATCACAGTAACCAGGATGACATATCAACTAGTGTAGGCAATAAATTCTTTAAAAATTCCTAGTTTACAAAACTGTATTTAAAAAATCTGTTACTTCTACTCATTGCCATTGAGCACTCCTCTCCCAGAGCTATTAATATCATAGAAATAAGAAAATATTATGTGTGGGATGAAAATTTGAGAATTTTGGCAAAAAATTTTGTTTTAATTAAAAAAGCAATATTTTAAAGTTTTGTATGATCAATAAAGAAAGAAGAAGAGAAAGATAAGGGTGGAAAACTAAAAAAACAAAAAACAAAAAACAAAGAGTTCATGACCAAATGGGGAAGGAGTAGAATTTATTTAAATTAAGATTTCATCTGACTTTTCATTTGATACTAACATCTTTGTAATCCTAACCCTGTATATATGAGCTAATTCAAACACATAAACATATAAATGTTTAATTATAATTTAAAACCATCTTTATTCCAAATTACAAAAAAGATTCATAAATAAAACTTCACTGAATTAACTTTATAAAGAACAGCAGACCTTATGCCAGTGAATTCTCAAATTTAAATTTAAAAAAGTGAGCGCGGAACAGAACCTGTGAGTACCTGTGCCTTAAAAACCAAGAGGTTCATACAGCTGAAGAGAGACTAAAATAACCTCGTGCTATAACAAGAATAGCAACACCAAGATTAAAAAGCCAGATTTACATTAAGCAGATACCTTCTATGTTTGCTTTGAAAGTTACCTTGGGAAAATATAAGCAAAGTCACTACTAAGAGTTATAAATACAACTGCATTTACTTTAGAATGTGTATACCTATCATGCAAATTCCTTTTATGGTGTTTATTCATAGGAGTCTCCTGAGAATTCTGAATTCTTTAAGTAGCCCACAAAGTTCACACAGATCTCTTTTCATAATGGTGGATTTTGGACTGACCCACTTACCTTTAGTGTATAAGAATTCCAACCCATAAAGATGGGTTAATAGAGATTCACTCTAACAAGGTTCCTAGTAAAATAAAGTAGGGACAAGCAAAGAGACAAGGGACATTTAGAAAATAAATAATCTTGGGTGATAGTCCTTAATTGGTAAGGGAAGAGGTCAGATATAGCAGAGTGATGGATGAAAAAAAAAAGGCTTTGTCTTTAGAGAAAATTTAATGAATTAGGAAACTGCAAACATTTAAATTTCTGTAGTTACTTTTACTATGTTTATGAAATTCATTCCCATTTAATGCAGATCTTAAATGTCTTATGCAACAAGTAACATTCTTTGCTAATTCTGAGATTATCTGAACTGCTATCTTTCAGAAATATTCTCTTGAGACAAAACAAATTTTCTTTGGCCAGAATGACTTAACTGGCTTACAGCAAACCCATCACTAAGATCTGTACTTCCAGTAAAGATTTTGCAAGTATAGCTTACTTTCTTGGTGTTGCAATAATGAATCCCTGTCTGTTTAGAGTTATTTTTACTACTCCCAGGGAGTAGACTATTCTAACTTTCACTTCTTAGTTTTTGTGAGTAAAAAAATAAGTTGAAAAAATAAGGCCAACTTCTGTCAAATATCTAACTTTTGACTATTAAAAATATAACTGATTGTATATGAGAAAGCCTGAGTACGCTCAATTTTATTTTATTTCTTCAACTTTGACACACACAGTCCTTTAGTTCTTTTTGTTTTTAACTCCAACTACCTCATTATACTAAATTAAAAATAAGTAATCTAAGATAATAATCTTTGAAAAAAAAACAAAGCAAAGCTTGGGGGAAAGTCGTCCATAAATAAAAGTTGAAGAAAGAATTAAACCTACAAAAACACATTTTACAATAAAAGGTTATGAGAGGGTCTCAAAAACAGATACATGCAAATAACCCAGAATAATCTCCAGAAATTCTAGTAAAATAAAAGTCTAAAAACCAAAGGACACCAGTAATTATTTTGTTTTTTAGATATCCAGGAACAACATTAAAACATTAATATCTGTTAAGATTCCTACTAAGAAATCTGATTAATGAAAATGGATCTTGTGTATGTGTAAATATACATCTACCCTCCAATCAAAGTAAATGTCTTTTAAACACTTTTAATGTTAGTATTCACCTCTCAGAAGAAAGAATTATCAACACAAGTGTCACTAAACGTCTAAGAGATGCATTTTTAGCAAAGGCAGTCATCACTTTTCATGAAGCAATAAAAATGGCAATTTCTACCTGCAGAGAGCACATACAGAATAATCACAACTTTTAATACCCGCCAGGATCATATTGTATGGGTCTAAATTAAGAAACCTCAGTAAGAGACAGTCCATGACCTCTAATGTGGCAAACAGATAAACATCTAACTTCTAAACTTTCGATTTGCTGTTCTCAACCGTAACTCCTGACTCTACTCCCATCACCCTGCACCCACAGTGACATCAGTCTCCTGCCAGGCTCCTGCTGCAAGTGCATGTACTCAGAGCACAAGAAATACAGGCTTTGCTGCTACCTGGAAGTAAAGTTCACATATGAGACACTGCCTTACATTTCTATTTTGTGTCAAAAATAGCATGTCTGTTTTCTACCACTTTTCCCTATTATTTCCTTTTGTCCTCACACTAACTCCAGAGTTTGGCAATTTTAGTATTACTCCCACTTCAAAGACCCCAAGATGGGAAAATAAAACTTCTCTATCTGATCCAGTTAGTGAATGGCAGGACCTGGAGCCTTCCTCACAACACTTCTAGCTTCAACGTTCTCTCAACCCAATGTTTTCACAATTTCAAAATTTCAACTAATAACCTAGGCAAAACAACCTACAGCATCCCCTTCCATATCACTTGTACAGAGATCACCACTTCTATAAATTCCTAAACAGTGTTGGGATATGCCAAAGAAATGTTTAAGATGAAAGCATCTTAGGGACGCCTGGGTGGCTCAGATGGTTGAATGTCTGCCTTCGGTCAGGTCATGATCCCAGGGTCCTGGGATCGAGCCCCTCATCGGGCTCCTGGCTCGGCGGGGAGCCTGCTTCTCCCTCTCCCTCTGCCTCTCCCCCTGCTCATGCTCTCTCTCTCTGTCTCAAATGAATAAAAAAAAAAAAATTAAGATGAAAGCATCTTAGGTCACCCCCCAAAATTTTAATGAGTCTTAGCATTATTTCATCAGTAATTTCCAACCTTTTTCCTAACATGCCACAAATAGAAAATGATAGTATGTGTACAGCCCACTGCTTAAGACCAGACCTGAAAAACCAGGAGTTTCTAGCAGCTCCAAACCCTGCCCAGCCACTCCAGGGAGTACGAGGAGCCCACACTCCTCTACCTCCGTGCTGCCGTGCAGAGGCCTGCCAGCTGGCAAACCCTGATTTACACCTCTAAAATTCCCACCATCTATTCCCGCTGGGCCAGACAGAAAGGTATAGAAATCAGAGAAGTAATAAAAAAAAAAAATTACAGCAAAACCTCAAGATCTAACACTTTACAGAGACAGTGGGGAGTTTCCTTTTGCTAACACTGACTTTGGGACATGCCCACTCAGCACCCCTTAGAGGCTGTGGGCAAATTATACCCCAGTTCTGCTAGGTATCATGGTAGGAGCTACCTGAAGAGCCAGAATTGTCAAATGAGAATTAGTTTAATACTGTAAATCTACTACCACCAAAATAAAAAACTCTAAAAAACTAACAACTATGTAAGATCTTCCCATATATTAAAGAGTACCCTTTGCTTTAACAGCCACATCTTAAAGACTTGAGAGTTTTTCTAGGTATTACTATTTTTTAAATAAGGGAAAACAGAAAACGTATCTAAAATCTTACCATCATATTTAGACCAACACAGTATCTAATACCACACATATTCCATTACCTAAGTAGCTTTTTTTTTTAAATCTTTTTTGTCCTTTTTCTGGCTTTTCCTCTCCCTTTTTGCTTTTCTTCCTAGCTCTTGTTTTTTACTAAAGCATTTTTATGTATATCAAATGTACTTGATTTGAGAAAAAAAATCAGTGCTTTAATTAGAGTAAAAAGCACAGGATTAACAACCCATTAAAATGCACAAGACTAAATGTGAATGTATCTGTTTATTTACAGCTTTTGATGTTTAAAATTTCAAATAAAATGATCTGTCCAATTGCTATAGCTTTAAAAAATAAATCATTTTTCCATTCTCTTCTAGAAAAAGCTGCAGCACAAATTAACAAAGAGTAGTGAAAACATAATTACATTTAAAACATAATTTAGGAAACATTATGTACCTCTTTCAGATTAGTAAGCATAATATGTAACTGTTGGTAACAAAAGCCAACAAGAATGAAATACAGACATTTATATCTTATGTTTGCATGCATCTTATAAAGACAACAAAAAACAGTAAGTTTTAAATTTTTACCAGACATGAATATAAACATATAAATAGGCAAAGCCTCCCTTTATTTTTACCCAAAATTTTTCTTCTATACTCAGTAAAATATTTTTACTTTTCAAAAAGTATATGACAGCTGTCAGTACAAATCTCTCACTTCTTTAATATGTACTTTTCATTCTATGATACACACAGTTTAGATATTGCGATGCATTTTAAAATGGAACAATTGAATGCCAAACCCAAGCTGCTTCAATGTAACTAGAGAAGACTTAAAGCTAGCACTGTATCATAGCGAATTGCAGCATACATACTGTATTGCCCCGTGCTAGTCTGATATATGCTAGTCGGTACTGCCATGGTAGCGATGTTAGGTGGCGTTCCTTCTTCCTCTGATTTTTCTTCTTCAATCTTGGGAACACCAGGCACGTCAGAGGAAAGTTCATTCAGTATTTTTCTAAAACATAATTTGACAACAGAAATAATCAAGATATATGAATGAGATTTAAGACAGAAAAGTTATAATGGAAGAATTGTTTGATACATAATCATTCTCTCTTTTTGGAAAAGGTATCATTATAGTAGGAAACTTAAATAACTTACCGATAAGAGGGTCTTCGTGAAAGGATTTCTCTACGTTTATGAGAATCAATTACACCTTCTGATTCTGCAGACTCATCTGTCTCTGCAATTGTTGCTACCTACAATACAAGAGTTTCTGAAATGCATCATAAAATATATGATCTCCTTCATTCAAAAAATGGTGCTTAAGGTTCTAGGTGTGCAGCACTAAGCCGGGTGCTGGGAAAGCGTCCAGCAACAGAACACACTGCACCTGCACTACTGCAGCTCACACCTGGCTTAGCAAAGGGAGCAAAGACACTCACATTTCAGCTGCAGAGCAGGTATGTGTGGACAGGAATGGTTCGGATAATAAATGCTACAGAAAGGCAAATGAAAGTGGTTGGCATGGCAGGTGAAGCTTCACAGGAAAGGACTACCCACATGTAAGATACTGAAGACTTAAGATCTCCACCCTAAACCTACTCTTAGAAATCCAGCGGGGATTGAGTGAGCTAGTGACAGAGGCAGAAAAAAGCATCTCAACCTCACTGCCCTCTTCACAATACCTCAGCTGACTTGAGTTGGGTCTTCAAACTAGACATTATATAGGTTCAAAGAAGCAAACAAGTAACCAAGCCTGATTAAAGTTAGGATTTATAGGACAAGAAGTAGGGTGGGGCTTGATGCTGCTTAAGTCTTGAAGGTCAAAATAAGGAATTTCTCCTCAAAAGAAAGATCAGAGTTTTAAGCATGATTTCATTTTTCGAGTCACATAATAATCACAGGATTTCTTTCTTTTTTTTTTAATCACAGGATTTCAAGGAAAGTCTGAAAACTAAAATAATGAGTCTCTACAATAACATGATGGCTCTCAATATACTTTGCCATTATCATTCAGGGCTTAGGGTAGTTCTGAGTTTATAAAACTCACTTAATATTACAATAACACAAGAATTTGATTTGGGCAAAATAAAAAAAACTTGTTTAAATGTCAACAATGCAAGCAGGAATATATATTTCTTGAAGCACACTGAGGTACATAATGTTCACTTACACACAGTTTAGATATTGCGATGCATTTTAAAATGGAACATAAGACCATGCATTTCTGGTCATGGACACCCTACACATAAGCATAGGCACCAATGAATAGAACTTAGAAAAAATGTTGCAATCAACAATCATATATCATCAACAAACATTTATCACTTTACACTGGGCTTTCACACATCTCTCATAAACTCATAACAATCCCCCTATGTGAGGTAGGATACTATTTTACCCACTTCAGAAAGGTGAAAGCTGAAGTTCATGCAGACAGATTAAGTGACGACCATTGTTCAACAAGCAGGAATTCTAAGACAAGATCTACTGGCACTTACGTCTACTAAGATAATTAAATCACCTACTTAACAAAATCCAAAAAAGCCTACTGAAAATAAGATAATACTTTCTTCCAATAGCAGCCGGAAATATCTAGAGCAGAAATATCTGCACCCCAATAAAAGTCATAATTCAAAAAGGAGAATGGAAGAATTTTCTTGTTCTATAATTAGGGTCAGAAAAAGAAACTCTTGGAATCAAGGGTCATTATGGGAAAAAGAGACAATGCTAAGAATGATTCTTACTCTTTTGAAAAGATACCTGTGTAGCAAAGCTAACTAAGCTTTTAATGCATGTGGATTTATTACTTCAAATATCAAGTTGCAACCTTATTCTGCAATAAACGGTAGCCAAATATGCAAGGGACAAGACTGATTACGTGTGCACACCCTTGTTTTCCTCACCAATCTTTTTGTCATCAACTATGTTCAAATAATTTCAACATCTAAAGGATAATAACTGACCTAAAAAAGGAACAGAAATAAATTCAATAACCAAGAAAAGTATGCTTTGAAAAACGCATTCTTATGCCTATCAGAATGGCTAAAATCAACAGAAGAAACAATAAATGTTTGTACGATGTGGAGAAAAAGGAACACTGGCACACTGTTGGTGGGAATGCAAATTGGTGTGGTCACTCTGGAAAACAATGTGGAGGTTCCTCAAAAACTGGAAAATAGAATTACCCTACAATCCAGCAATCACACTACTATTTACCCAAAGAATATAAAAACACTAGTTAAAGGGATCCCTGAAGCCTTATGTTTATAGCAGCATTATTACAAGAGCCAAATTGTGGAAGCAGCCCAAGTGTCCATCAAGTCGATGAATGGATAAAGATGTGGTCTATACAGACAATGGAATATTACTCAACCATAAAAAGAATGAAACCTTGCCATTTGCAACTACATGGGTAGAGCTAGGGAGTATAATAATGGTAAGCTAAATACGCCAGTCAGAGAAAAACAATACCACATGATTTCACTCATGTAGAACTTATGAAACAAAACAAGCAAAGGGGAAAAAAAATAGAGACAAACCAAGAAAGAGACTCTTAACTATGGAGAACAACTGATGGTGACCAGAGGGGAGGTAGGTGGGGAGATGGGTGACATAGGTGATGGGGATGAAGGAGTGCACTTGCTGTGATGAGCACCAGGTGCTGTGTGGAAGTGCTGAATCACTATATTGTACACCTGAAACTAATATTACACTGTGTGTTAACTAACTGGAATTAAAATAAAAACTTTAAAAAATTCATACTTAATTTACATCTATTGATGCAAAAAAATGTTTTAGCTTCAAGAAATGTTGAGGATCTGTGATCAACTTTGATAATAATAAATTTAAAAACATATCTCTGGATCACAACCATAATAATCATGTCTACAAAAACCAAGGTTTTATCTGAGAGGGGCTGGTGATGTAGAAGCATAATACCAAGGTAACAATAATACTTATGTTTCCTACAAGTTACAGATATTGAATTAAAAATAAACTTAAACTTCCACCTACTTACTAATGTATTTATGAAAACAGTAATCTTTATATGCTGTGTTTATCAGACATCTTCAAAGAATCCTCAAAATATTTTTAAGCACCACTGGAGAGCTTAGCTAAATAAATCTGAGTCTGAGCACAGAGCAACGACTCAAAGAATTACTCATCTGGCAATTACTCATCCTGTAAATTAAGAGCTAACAACAAAACTGCAACTCTCTAGTCAAATCTATGTATCCAGCAGGGCACAATGCACTTCACATGGGAAAAGGAAATTCCTCCAAATTTCTAATAAAAAGAATTAAGCATACATAAAGGAAAAGATGATAAATTAATAAAAGGAAAAAAAAAAAAAACAAACTCTGAAGAAAGTCAAGAACAAATCACCCAGGAAGGCAGCTGACCTGAACAGTCTGTATCTGTGGTGACTGAATAACCGATGGCTGTGGTGTGTGAATTACTCCCTGGACATGTACAGTCTGGTCCGAAGGTAACTGTACTAGAGTTACAGCAGGGGAGCCTCTTCTGGTGCCTGATCCAGCTACAGAAACCTGCAAAAATGATCACCACTGAGGATTAAGGCTGGCTCATTTTCTGTTTTGGTTTGTAAAAGAAATACCATTCACTATTATGACGGGCCATTTTTTCCTTTCTTTCTTCTGCTTCTAAGAAATGACTACACTGGGCTACTTACCATTAGGAGGTGGTTACTGTCCTGGAACAGTCATTCTCTGATGTGACAGATATTAAAGAACCCATGCGCCTCACTTTCGGTTCCCATGCTTCGATGGCTAAGAATGTTCCAAGCACAAAGTTCTAAAGCAGTTAAACTACCTCACTACGACCTCACCACTATTAACAGTGAACCCTTATTAGGCCAGAGTATAAACTACCCTCTTCAACTTCCTGAGAGAAATTGGAGACAGAACTTAAATATGGTAAATTATTTTTTAATAAATGAAATGTTCGAAATAGGATATTCTGGTATTACTTCAGATGCAAGCTAATGCCTTGTCTTTTATACTAATGAATATCACAGTTACTTTTATGTCCCCATAATCACAAAAAAGGCACAGGCCAGAGGAATTCCAAGGACTTCTCATGCCCTTAATGTGTCTAATCCAGGGAAAATGCATGCCTTAGATCTGGGATGTCCCTCTTACAGCTTTCCTTCCTGCTACCTCCAGCATCTAGAGAAAGGGCCAAAACCATCCCTTAGCTTGTACAAAGTACAACCATCTCCCAGTACCCCTGAGCGCTTTCAACAGAGATCCTTACCAGCAAAACACAGTACTTCGACCCCCTGGATTCAAAACCTGCCAAGTTTGCTAATTAGTCAACAATCCTACGGGCAGGCCAGTGTAATCTTAGAAACTTTCCTTCATTTTACTGTTTCACTCACTATTCATTATGACTTACTCAAGAGTCAAAGACTTTGGAAATGAAATAAGTGAAATAAACTACCAGTTTCTACCATGAATGGTAGCAGAACCACAAGCTCTAAAACAAACTTTGAAGGAAGTCTCTGTATAGGGCCTCACTTTAAGAAACACCAATGATTTCCAATCTACTTACACTTTAAAACAATTATTAAAATCTGGGCTTATAACAAATAATTATAAGATTTATTTATAAGATCATTTCCTTTAGAAAGCAAGCTTCTTTGGTAATCCAAAAGTAAAAATCTTTCATCCATACAAGAGAACCTGTGTGATGAGCATTGTACTAGGTGCACTAGGGTAGAAAGTAAAATTGATAAAACTAACACCTGAGAAATAATAGCACATCAAGCAGTATAGAACGAATTGCTCCATTGTACAGCCCATGAAAGTCATGGGCATACAGAACAGAAAGATCAGAATGAGTCTGAACAATAAGTACAGGCTTTGTGTAGAAGCCACAGCTTGAGCTAGGCCTGCATAATAGACAGAAAAGGGCAGAGACACCCAACATATATAGCCCAAGGGGCAAGTTCAGCCCACCTGCCCCTGGAGTATTATTGTCTACCTTAGATTTTAGGGGAAAGAAAAAGATTACACCCTGGTAGAATACATTTAACAACCAGAAGTTTAAAAAAACCCAAAAAACAACAACAAAAAACAATGGAAGGATTTATTCTAGAAATGACAAAGCAGCACAAAAGATAAATCTGTGTGAATAATAAAAAGGCATCCACCTCTTTGGGGACCAATTACCAAAAGGTACTCCTTCTGCCACACAAATAATTCTCAAACTTTTTGGTCTCTCAGGACAC